CATTTGACATTTACACTGGGTTTAATCTCTCTATTTAAAAGAGTTAGAGATAGTTCTTTCTCATTGAATCTAGAAAAGAAATGAATTAACTCAGTTTTATTCATATCAAATTGAATTTAATTGATATCTGCTCTAACAAAGATTTCCTTTACAGCTTCTTCAATTACTTTCAAATTCTCTTTGATAGTTTTTGAGCTGTAGACTAGATCAATATCATTCACATATCTCAGAGATCACACTATTCTCATATTTCTATTTTTGAATAGATATGCAGTGTATATTGCAAATAAAATGAGTGAGATTGAAGATTTCTGTGGTACTTCTATTTTTATCTCAGTCTTGTCTTGTTTCATTTCATCAAAGAAGAGTTGTATAATTCTTTTAGATATAAAACAGTTAACTCATTTTGTTAGAGAAAGTGGCAGTTTTAATATCTTCAATGTCTGAATTAACTTTGACTTTGAAACATGATCAAATGCTTCTTTTATATCAATAAAAACTGCAGTTGAGACCAGACTCTCATGCTTTGCTATTTGAATATCATGAACCACTGAGAGAACAGTGTCAATTGCAGAACACTGTTTTCTATCTCTCATTTATTCACTGAATAAAAGAGAATCATCTATAGAGCTTATAAAAGATAGTTGAGTAGCTATTATCTTTTCTAAAACCTTTTCTAAACAGTTCAATAGAGATATTACTCTATATGACTTAGAAATTGAAGTTTTTCTATTAGGTTTTACAAGAATCACTCCAGTGGCTTCTCTCCAGCATTCAGAATGATATTCATTTTTCAAGAGATTGAAAAAGAGCTCAAAATATTCATTCTTTAAGTAGGGATATGTATTTTGAATAATCAAGTGATTAATTGAATCAGGACCTGCAGCAGTTTTAACAGAACTTGAGAAGATAGCTGACTTTAATTCATCTTATGTAAGATCAGACTATTCTCAGTCATTTTCATTAATGTAGTTGAGAAGTGATATATTCTCTTTCTCTGAATCTGACTCTGAATCTGGTGAGTTCTGAAAGAGAATTCTCATAAAAGCTTGATATTTTTCCTCAAAAGAGTTTGCTGTATATGATTCATTCTGAAACTCATATTCTAAGACTGGAAGTTTTGCTACACTTCTTGTTTTAGTATAGTTAAAAGCTTTAAAAACTTCCTTCTCTTATGCTTCTTCAAGAAATTTATTTCAGCAGTCTGTTTTAGCTCTTTTGATATCTGAAAAATATTCATTTCTGACAGCTTTGAACTCTTCATCAGATATTACATCATTTTTTCAATCTCTTCTAGCAGTAGCTAATTCTTTTCTTTTAGATGAGATATTCTCATTTCACTAAGATTTTGAATACTCAGAAGATTTTCTTTTTGAAATATTATCTCTAACACTTGTTAGAATAATAGATATAATAAGCTTCACTCTATTCTTAAGCATTTCATTTGAGATATCTTGACCAGAATTTCAATATAGCTCATTCTGTCTTTCAGATTTTAACAGTTTTATACTTTCTTCAACTGCTTTTCAATCAGCTTTTTCAAAGTTATACTGATTAGAGAGAAGAGGATTTTCACTCATTTGTTTTTCACTCAGTTCAATATCAAATTGAATAATCTCATGACCTGATTCTGATGTCTCATTTGAATCAATAAACCAGTTTACAAGTCTTTTTTTCATTAGATTTTGTGACATGAAGATTAGATCTATAATAGACTTCTGTTTCATGTCTTTTCTAAAGAATGTTTATTGATCAGACTTATTAATCAAATCTATTGAATGCTCAAAGATTCATTCAATTAGATTATCAGCTCTCACTGCTCTCTTGCATTCTGAATTTCATCAGAGATGATGTGCATTGAAATCTCATGCAATTATAGAGTTTCTTGATGAAGTTATGTTCAGAAATTCTCTATCAATTATTCAGATATTGTTATTTTCCTTCAATGACTTTTCATTATAGATATTTATGAGCTGTATAGTATCAAACTCATTTTCTTTATCTATAATATCACTCACTAGAATATCAGGGTCAGACATGATATCAAATCTTAGATTAAATTGATATCTTGATCTCTTTCTTTTATAGATCACTACTCTTGACTTTATCTCAGACTTTTGAGGTAAAAAGCAGTAGTAGCTTGAATGAGAAATGACATATTTTTACTCAGTATCAAAATTCGGCTTCTGAAGCAGTATAAAATTAACTTTTTATTCAAATGCAATTTGAAGACAAGAATAAATACAATTTGAGTTTCTATTCACATTATTTTGAATAAATGTGATTTTTGAAGAGTTTTTAAACTTTTTTTATTGTTTTTGTTGTATATTCATACTAAAAGAGAGTAGAGTAGAATCTAATCACTATTATCAGATAGTAGATTATAACTGTTCTGAAAAGTAGAAATCTCAACTACTTACATTATATCTAGTTTATCACCAGAGTTATTTCTCAATTCTCTAATCTTAACAGAAGTTTGAGAATTCAAGTTCTGTTTACATTTAGCTGGAGAGTTGAAGTTTGAAGACTTAGATAGTTGAGAGTTTCTTCTTTTTGAGCTTGCAGTTGTGAGTTTACTGACTTGACTCTTCTCTTCAGTTCTAGATTAACTTTGAGCTTCATCTTTTCTTCAGTTCTTTTGAGTTCTAGAAGCAAACATACATTCTTTTGAGCTAGATGCATGTTTTTCTTTGCAATTAGAGCACTTAAGCAGAGTATGTTGACAAATTTCATCTCTTTTTGAGCATGTTTCACATTTATGCTCACTAGTTTTGTGATCTCTGGCACAGAATGCACATTTTGAGTCTCTAAAACATGAGATTGCAAAGTGTTCATATCTTTGACAGTTTGAACACTGTGTTTGAGCTTTGAGATTCATTCTTGAGTCTTTGTATTCATGAACTCTCATTTTCAAACCTGTTACTCTTACTTCAGAGATCTTTGACTGTTCAAGTGTTTTTATATATACTAGAACAGAGACATTTCTTCTACTTTGTCTGAACTTAATTGAATTTAGTCATACAGACTTCTTTCTCAGTTGAATAGAGTTGTATTCTTTCAATTCATTTTTAAGAAGTAGCATTTCTTCTTCACAGTCAAAAATTTCAACTGAAATATCATGAAGAATGAATTTGTCTCACTTTTCATCTCTTTCAGATAGAATTATTGTGTTTAACAAAGATTCTACTGCTGACTTTCAGAGATTCTCATTCTGAATAAGGAATTCAGCACTGAATTCAGGCATTGTAGTCAGAATAATGAAGTTTTCAAAGAATGATGACTTAATTAAAGCTATAACTGATTTTTGAACTTCAATATCAGTCATCAACTGAGAAAAGAACTGCTGATTAATTTCATTTCTGATTCTGAAAATGAGATTTGAGTTTAGCTTGTTTCTTTGCAGAATGTCCTGGTTTGAGACTTTGAGAATAAGTCTTCTATTTCTGAAGATTTGAAAGTTTTTCTCTTTTTGCATTTTCTTTTTCACTTTTCTATGAATAGAGACATGAGCAGTATTCTTCTCAGTTTTCTCAGGATTTTGAGCAGGTTTTGAGACAGCAGATTTAGAGACAGCAGATTCAGCTGCTTGAGCATATGTTTTCTTCTGATTCAAAGAAGAAGAAGAAGTAGGAAAAAGAAAAGAAGAAGAGCAAGATGAAGAGTCAGTGATTGTACTAGGAATTTTCAAGATTTTTTGAACTGTGTTTGAGATTCCAAGTTTGAACTTGATTATCTCCTGTAGTTGTCTAGTCTGAGTATGAAGAATTAACAGAACTTCTTCATTCATCTCACTCAGACACTGCTTTTCAAGAATCTTGCTTACTTTTTCAAGTTTCTGTATTTCAAGAACTTATTATTTCTCTATTTCTTCTTTCTTTCTTCTCTTCAGAATTTCAATCTCAGGAATAGCATTTGAGAAAGCATCTTTTTTCACATCAACTGAGTGTATTTTTGAACTCATTGTTTTCACTCAATGAAAAGTTGATCAGACTGTTTCAATTGAGATATTTCTAAGTCTATTTTCAATTGAAAAGTTGGTCAGACTGTTTCAAAAGAAGAATAAAAGACTTTTGTGTATAAAACACCTGATTTTTTTCACACTAGTTCAGTAACTAGATTAGATTTTTGAAGAGAATCTAATAAACTAAAATTGATTTTTGAGATAAATCAATAAAATCTTTACAATCTCTTTCTTGAGATACAGTGAGAAAAAGTATGATATCAATTGATAATGAATCAGATGATATGACAGTTTTTAAGAGAAAAACTGATAAAAAATAAATCAATTTTTTGCAGAGAAATTGATTAAAACTATTCAATTTTATTCTAAATTATTCAATTCTTCTCACACAACAAGTGTGCAACTCAAATCAGTTAATAAAGAGTGTAAAAAAGAATTAAGTATTAATGAAAGCTCTTCAGCCACTGAAAAAGTAATTCTTACTTAAAAGAATATGAAATTATGACAGAAAACAGCTCTGTTTTTAATTCTTTGTAAGAATATTGTGTAAAACTCAGAGAAAAACATCTTACTCTTTCAAGAGAAGTAAAAAACTATTTCTAAGATCTTTTTTTTTATGCATTGACTGCTGCAGAAGAATGAGATAGAAACTGCTAAGATATGCACTACTGTATACTCTCTATCAAGACTTTCTCTCTTCAGAGTCTTGATATTATAGAGAATATAAGTCTGTTTCTATATAATAATATAAATATTGCCAGCAGGATGTAGAGGAACTGGTTATTTATATCTCAAAATAGAAGACTTTGTCAATGATTATATCAATATAGAGTTAATTCTCAAATTCAATAGAAATCTAGTGTTACTGTTCTCAATCCCTTGCAGAATCTATTGAATATTGAGATATTAAAACTAGATTTAATATATCTCACTGTGCAGGGATCAAAGACTCAGTCAGATCTTGAGATATACTGATTTTATAGTTGTTGATGTGCTGTTGACTTGTTGTTCATTGATTATGTGCTTGATATTATCACTGAGGTATCGTTTTGTATTTTTCTGCCAGGGATGGGCCAGATTGAGAAGGGCGGTACAAGGGTGGGACTTGGTGTTGGTGTTTTGGAACATCAAAGATGGACAGGGTTTTCGCAGAGGTCGCTCCTCAGATATCTCCACAACTACAGATTGGGGATCTTCCAAAATCAAGAAGATTGGTGCATGCGGCTAGGTCTCTTCACCTTACAATTTATATGGCAATTTGGCCCGGGGTTGTGGTGTGGTAGGGGAGAATGGGGGATAATCCCACGCAGGAGTTCCGAACAACGTCTGGTTCACATTTGGCTGGATAACTCCACCACCACACGGGGTATGCGGTCGGCGATGGGGTCAAAATGCTCGTATGATCGAGGGCTTTTCGATGGATCTATCGGCGGGTTCTTATTCGAAAAATCGAGCGAGTTCGTGGTGGAGCGGTGTCTTCATTTCTTTGTTTCTGCAGAGTTGATTTCTGTTATAAACAGTTTGTAAATATACTGAGTATATTCATTCTTCAGTTGTAGTTCAGATAATCTGAATATAAGATCTTATAAAAACTTATACTCTGTTTCTTCTTATATCAGATCTTCAACAGTGCTTCTCAAAGTCTGCAAACTCTTCAGATTATAGATACTCTCTTCAAGAATTCTTACAGAGATTTTCAGAGTGTTAACTCTCAGTATTATAAAGAGTAGTTATACAGACTTCTTTTCTCTCTTTTCTCTCTTCTCTTATAGAGAATTGAGAGACTCTTCAGTCAATCTCTTTATAATACTCAGTTCAAGTATTCTATAAAGCTTTTCTGTCTTCTCTAGTCTCTCTATATCTGATATTCTGATCTTCTTAATATAGTCTGATCTGTAAGAGAGTTCATTTACTGAGTTCTTAGTTCTCTTAATATATTCTATCTTGAATCAGAACTTACTCAGTCTCTGAGCTCAGTAAATTTATCACTGTAAGAGTTTCTTAATTAAAGTAAACTGTTATAAGCTATTATAATCAGTTCTAATAATAATTACTATTATAAGATTCTCAAAGTAGTGATATTAGTGATGAAAGAATTTTACTATTATAAGAAACTTCTAATCATAAATATTATAGTTAATCTCTGTAAGTTATATCTTTTATAAGAAAAAGACTATTAAAACTCAGTTCTCATTTAACTGTAGTTATGAGACTATTTCTGAAATTATAAAGAAGAAGACATCTATCTTTAATCTGATTAAGAGTAAGAAATCAAAATAAAACAGTATTACTATATCTATAAATATTTATTTTAATCTTATAAAGACTCTGTAAGCTTCTGAAATAAGAAAGTTCTTACAGTTCTCTCTTCTTAATAATCTTTTTATTCTCTATTTATAAAATGACTTCTTTTTATTTTCATTCTTCAGTATATCTATAAGAGTTAAGAAGATTCTTATAAATATAAAGATAAACTGTCTATAGAAATTCACAAAGCTTAGAAAGATCTGAATCTTATAAATACTAGTTAACTTCAGTTATAATAGAATAGTCTTAATTTACAAAGATTTTATCTGAATATTATCTGTGATAATTATATATTCTAGAAAATTAATTCAGTAGATACTGAAGTTATACTTTATAAACTTAATATACAGTTCTATCTTATCTAAGATTTTTAATATACTTTATATATACTCAGTGTGTTCTTTCTTCTTTATAAAGTACACTATCATATTATTCAGATATATTATTATAAAGATATTCAGATATATATAAAGTATTTTATTAATAAAAGACTGAAATACTGTAGAGATATTAATCAGATTAAAAGATATCACTAAATATTTAAATAATCTTAGTACAGTTCTAAAGACAGTTTTTTATTCATTCTCAGACTGTATTCACAGCTGTGTATATATATTAATTATATTTAATTATATAAATATAATAGCTTTTATAAAACAGTTAATTACATTCTTAATCAGAGATAGAGAATAGTGACTCTTTATTATCTTAAAGTTTAAATTATAATAGTCTATATATAATCTGAGATCTTCATTCTTCTTTTTTATAAATATTACAGAGACTTTTATAAAGATCTATAAAGATTGAATAAAGCTATTCTTTAGATTCTTCTTTATATAGATTTGTAAGATCTCTATATCATAATAAAAGAGTTTATAGATTAATTCTTAGAAGAGTTTTTACTCTTCTATTAAATCTATTATTAGATTCTTCTTATAATGAGAAGAAAGCTTAGCTATTTTTACTAAATTAAATATCTCTGTAAGATCTCAGTATTTCTCTGATATTTAAAGCTTAGTTTTCATAATCATGAGTTTCTTAGATACTTATAAAGTTATTATATAGATAAGTTTATCTTCTCTAATTAACTCTATAATATTAACTGATTCTATCTCTGTAAGTGAGTCTGTTAACACTGATTGAAAGTATAAATCTAACTTATAAACAGTCATGTACAGATTGTATCTTTGAAGTTATATAAGTTTTAAGTATATATTATCTGTGATATCTGTAATAATCACAGTTTCTATAAATTTTCTTCAGATTTCAGAGAGATCTTATAATTCAAAGATAACTCTTATAAGTCTCTTAGTTCTCAGATTTGAGTTCTTATACTCTGCTTATTATAAGAGTAGATTTCTAGTCTTCACTCTTCAGCTTATTTACTCTGTGAGCTTTAAAGATACTACAGTGATCTGAGATTCTGAGTTTATTAATACTTCTTATACTTATAAGATAACAGTACTACAGCACAGTCTCTTCTTATAAATAAGTATTTTTATCAGAGAAGTAATAGATTCAGATATCAGTTTTAAGACTCTTAAGAACACTGTTACTGACTCTGTCTATAATTTCTTAAATTTCTATTTTAATTTATCTGAACAGTTTATATAAAGATATTCTAATTTAAAATAGATAAAACAGAGTCTCTTTTTCTTAGTCTCTCTATTATATACTTTATTTATAGAAGTTTATGAAGCTCTCTCTCTCTACTTAGTAGTTAGATATAAATCTCTCTATATTTTATTATTTTTTTCTAATAAATCTGTTCTCTGTTATTCTGACTCTTATAGAGTTAGTTAGTAATTTACTCTCTATAAGTCTATAACTCTTACAGTGATTTATAAGTAGTGAATAAAAGTTATTAGTTTCTTCAGAGTTAAGAATTTAGAGTCTTACTCAATGAGCTTATTCTATATATTTATATTCAGTCTCTTTATAAATATTATTATTTAGATCTTATTTCAGAGCTCTATTTTCACAGATCTTAGTTTATATTATAATTTTATAAAGTGCTGTGAGTAGTCTTTATCAGATTTCTTATCTCTTTTTCTAATATTAATAATTACAGCTCAGATATTCTCTGTTTAACTTATAAAGTTTCTTAATTTATTCTCTAGATAAATCTTAAGAATAGATTAGTAAGATCTCTTATAATTATTCTTTAAATAATTCAGTCAGTTCTTAACTTTAATATAATAGAGATCTATTATTATATAGATAATAACTTCTTTATCTTTTATATTATATAACTGAGCTTATGAGTTAATTTTAAATACAAACTTATAAAAGCTTTTATAAATTATAATTTAATAAGTTATTTTAAGTGATTATAACTTAAGAAAGTTTCTTTTCAGTTTATAAGTATCTCTAAAGATTATATCTAGAGACTCAGTTTAAGAGTATTTACAGATAATAAGTATTTCTTATAGAAAAATAACTTAATTCTGTAAGAGATACTTAAGAATATTCTTCACTAAGATTAATTTATTTATAAGCTTAGAGAATTTCTCTGTTATAGATATAGAGAATAATATTCTATAAGTAATTAATAAGATCTCTAGAACTTCTTTTATAAGAATTATCTGTGATTCAGATAACTATTTCTGAGTATCTATAGTAGAGTTTATAGAGATTGAAGTATATAAGTTTCTAGTTCTTTCAGTTATAATAAGCAGTTGCTGACTAACTGAGCTTGAAATATAAGAATAAGTACTTATAGACAATTATTCAGATGTTTACAGTTTGATATAATATATACTGTTAACTACTAGAAGTATTTACAGTAGAAAGATAAAATGTAGAGATTAAATATATAATAGTATTCAAGCTGAGTTATAAATAGTATTTATGAACTCCAGTCTATATAGTTATGTGTAGCCAAGGGCCGCTAGCTCTATTGATTACATGAGAGATAGAAATAGAGATAAAGAATCCGCGAGGAGCGGGATTTCTTACAGTCTTACAGGTATAAAAGTTGGGAATGTTTAATTTTACATTTGTATTTGGTTTTGACAGACTATCTTGGTGGTTTGGATGTTTTTGTATGTGATTCTTGTTATCTTGAGGGGGGGTGTTGGCCCTTACAGCTGTTGCGGTTAGTGATCCCACTAGATCACATGACCCATCACTATATTATGTTCTTGTAGATAGATCTATTAATACAACCTTCAACTATTCTACATTTAGTGTAACTCGCATAGTTAGATTACAACACAACAATGTTATCCTTCAAGAAGATTGATGATGTCTTAGTGTTGCTTTGTCACTGATCTCAGACATGTCTTCAGAGCATCTCTCACTTCATGGCATTTTAACTGATCTAACTCACAGTCTATAACACAGTGCAGTTCACTGACTGCACTTTTCTAGTTCTCTTTCCTTCTGCTTCTCCTTTCTTTCATGTCATTTTCTCTTCTTGCATCAACGATTTTCCACCACAGCTGCTATTTGTAACTTTGTGTGTTTCATGAATCTGCTCTGCTGCCCACGACTGACATGCAAGCGCGTCTCAAGTTACTCTTTGATGGAGAAGATGAAGATCTTCTCAAGACCAATACAGGCCTTCAATCCGCACTGGAAATAGCGAATCTTTCAATGAAAGAACAGAACACCGCCAACAATCCACCACAAACCACAGAAACAAGCCGTCAGCAGAGTAGCCAAGCAGGTTCGTCCAAGAAGCCGGCGGTAGATGAGCCCAGCAGCTCAGAAGATGGGTTTGATGAGTATCTAGCTACTTTTTCCGATGCTACACGGGAAAACAAAAGGAAAAAGAAGATTTGGAATAAGAACGATAACCATTACAGGGGAAGTACGCATGTGGGTTTGTCGATACCGACGGCTTCCTATGATACCTTGGGGCAGCCTTCTACAGCAATGGCGGAAGATTATTCTGCCCAATATCTGCTATCAGTCGTTTCCCGTACAAATACGTTCGAGACAGTGATGGCGAGCGAATTGCACAACGCTTCTTCAACGAAGGAAAGTTCTGGAAGAGGCCGTGGGATATGTACGTTAATTCCATGAAAGAATCTCTTCCCCGTTCAGATATTAGACCATAATGCAAAAGGTGCAGACATAATGGGCTATAACTACGGGCTGGGGAAATCGTCCCTTTCGAGTAGTCACTATGACTCTGGATAGCCCCTTCTGCAATGCCCAGATTCACTAACTTGAGCATTCCATCAGATACTATATTAACCCGCCGCTTTCCATCT